AATACTACATTATACTACACTATACTACAGTATACTACATATATATGATTGATTTGCTTATTTAGAAATGGGCAAGCAGAGATGATGTCTTGCGCGTACCTGCTTATCGATGATGATCCATTGTGAATATCGTCGTTGCGACGGATCGCTTTCGCCATTAGTCCATTGACCCGCACATCCTGGGAGCTCAGGAAAGGCTTAACCGGCAGGGCATATATCGGGTCGTTGTAAATATTTTTGTCAGGATTACTGTCGGCTGTCGCGTTGGTTGTCGTCGGTAGATTGCCGCTGCTTCTGGTGTGCTGAGGCAGCGTGTAAACCGGCTGCGAATACGTTCTCGAGTGATGATGAATCCGACGTTGATGATGAGTCGTCGCCGGTCCTATCGATCGACTACCGCTTTGGATGTCCACTTGTGATTGAAACTGCGTTCTACAGGCATTCATAGTGATAACTTCTCCATGCTGTTGCTGCGAGCCGCATAAGCTTGATAGATTAGGATGCGACATGGAATTGCGCGATTGCGTCCGGAAATGCGCCCCCTTCGTGTAATAGTGATGGTGATGATTGTGACGATGATCCTGCGAGTTCTGGGCGTAATTTTGTTGCTGTTGAAGCGAGCGAAATTGATTGATCGAAAATTGAGCGTGATCTTGCTGTTGTTGTTGCTGCTGCTGCCGCTGCTGAACAGTCAGATGATCCAATAAATGTTGTCCGACATGAAGCTGATGTTGAAAAGATGGCAATTGGACGTGGTCCTGCTGCCGTTGCGGATGATGATGGCCGTAGATTTTCTCGTGATTCGATGGATCGATGATGTTTCGTGTAGGACAAAGAACGTTCAGCTGATAGTAGGTTGCTCGCTTTCGCGCGGCATATTGCGGCGATCTCACAACTTCTCGATACATCTCCATCACTATATGTGTAAAGGGTCTTGCTTGTAGACGCGTTCGACAATATTCGGATATTACCTGCAAAGCAGAGAACATGATACATTGTTAAATCATATATTGATAGCGTGGGTGGCTTTTCGATATCTGATACGGACACACAGAATTCTTCCATATACATACGATGATTAATATTGTAAACTATGACATATTTTATAATATATATGTAATTAAGGGAATGCATCAAAAACAAAAGTATACTATTTTTTTATCAAAATTGAAACGAGAAAAATTAATATTATTTTGCGTCTAGGAGATAAAATTACTTGATTGACGCGCAAGTTGAATGTCGTCGCGCAAATGACGTCCATGCAAGTTTGTAATAATCATCGCGGACATAATATGACTGATATATGTCTATATATGTATGTTTATCTGACATAGATGATATACAATATACGTCAGTTAAACGTCCATGCAAGTTTGTAATAATCATCGCGGACATAATATGACTGCGCCGATGCGTTTATCGTACTACCCAGCGAGCCGATTATCTAGTTTCGAAACTTTCGCGTCGCACAGTAGACGAATTATTAGCTTAAAGCTTAAAGGAACAATGGCTTTAGTTGGAATTCTATAGATCCGGCGAACTGAGGAAGTGCCACTACTTATTAACGCTTTATTCTCTATCCCAGTGGTGATAAATTCAACACGATTAAGAATCTTAAGAAAGAATAATAAAAAATATTTTTCTTCCGCAGAACTTTTATAATAACTGTTGACAAAAATATGAAGAACATATTTGAAGGATTAATAAAAATGTCATCTTTTTATTTATTATGATATTATTGCTCGTAACTTGAGTAGTCGTAATTAATTTCAGTTGAGTGATACACATATAGTTTCGTAGTTTACTGTTGTCTCCAAAATGTTGAATAATTCCACGAGTCTTTTTCCGGCTTTTACATTGTTGCTTTTATAATTGATAAAAATTGGGATTCTCTCTTAAACTGATAGAAAAATAAGCTCTGCAAATTCTTCAATTTAGTAAGAAATCAATTCCAGTCATCGCGGCGTTGAATAATGTATGATGAAATTTTAAACAAATTTAACATAGAATTCAAGCGAGTATTGTGAGACAACAAGTAATCAGTCAGAGAATTTAATGCAGCGTTTTACTCTTCTCCGATGTAAATTTCTCGGCACATCATGGTAACGAACAGACACGGCGCGACATTGATTCGCCGTTCCATTACACTGCGATTTAGAAGTAACTGAGATGTAAGGCAAGAGTAATAGTCGCATAAACTATTATTCTTAACAAATAACGGCAGATGGTGCTCCGCTGACTATCAGTTTACGCCAGGATCTGCATCCACCGACTGTAAAGTCAAGTGTTCGGTTCTCGTCTTAACTCAGCGGCGTGCTCAACCATCGGGGCTGCTTTATCTGTGCGGATATAGATACGACCAAGGCAAAGTAGGTGCTCCGCGAGCGGGGGATAATTTATTGGCCGCCGAGGAATCCTCGATAGAAATTGCGGTTCCGTATTACGCCGCATGCCTTGTGCCCTTGCCCTTTCTCCCGCCCTTGCTCATCGGCGAGATTTCATCAATTTCGGGAGTTATCGGAATTACGGATGCAGAATTATCGCTGCCCAAGACGAACGACTTATTATAACCGCTTCGTTCTTCGCGCGCGATAACCGCCACAGCGTTTTTGAGATTGCCAGCCGTTAATCATCGGACTCGGGCGAAATTATCACAGCTATATAGATATGCATACCGTTCGTATGCAATTTCACGTCCGGAACCGCCCCTCGTCGTGCCTCATCGGGCCGTGCTAAATCCCCTGAAAATCCCCGGAATTGTGCGCGAACCGGTCCGCGAATTTATTCCTCGTAATGTCGTGGCACCGTCGCGCCTAATGACGTCCTGCGGTTGCATAAAGTAATCTTTTGAGAGTGAGATTCGGACTCACGACTTAGCCACGTGCAGATTTATCGCTCCGCTGCGCTTACATTGCAAAGCGTTTTTAATCTTTATTCTGGCTCTTGTAATCAAAATATACTTATTATTTAACCAAGCTATTATAAAATTTAAATATGTTTATGTATAAAGATTTTTTGATATTGATATTCAAATCGAATCATTCAATCATTATCACGATTTTTTCCTGCGTATTTTTTATACATTATCTCGTTTGTAAACCAAAAATATGTCATCCGAGATGAGAAAGAGAAATTAAATCTCTATTTTACTCAAAATTTTCGCAAGTTCCAAGGCTAGAATTGGCTGAAAAATTTCGGAAGCGTCGCATCGCTCGCGTGCTCGGCACCCGTGTGAAAACGTGCAATGTGCTGCATCCCCGCGATGCAAACGGCGTTGCAACGTGCGACCGCATTCTCTATCACGCAATCTGTTTGTCCTAATATTTACACGCGGGAGAAGTCTGTATGACGCGTATTTCCTATATATCCAATCTGTTTGCCGTTTCGATCAAAATCATTTAATCGCACGCGGAGGCGTTGCGAATCGTCCACGATTAAATTTCATCTTGTTACTTGCATCCCTGTAAATGCCACGATATCCGATAAACAGATAGAAATCGCTCGTGTATGTTACATATTAAACTCTTTGATGTGCGTAACGAAATTGTGATATCGTAAATTGTCACGTTGATATCGCACCTGGAAAATATGTACATAACGATTTAATTTTAGTAAGCAAATAAGGTAGAGAGAGAGAGAGAGAGAGAGAGAGAGAGAGAGAGAGAGAGAGAGAGGGGCGAGGGATTTTATTTAGAGGCGAGAGTTTTAATTAATATTAATCTCATGTTACTTATTACACGAGTAGATTAAATGGGCAATCAGAAAATAATTAAATGCTATTTAATATCGATCGCATTTAGATATTTTATACAACGGTTATTTACTTAAATTATAATAAGCAATTATATAAAATATATACAGACATTTTTAAAATACATATATTGAGACTAAATTAATATCGTAAAAACAAATATAATTTTTTGTTGTACGAATGTCACGCATGGAATATGCGTTTGATCTTTAGTCTTACAATCAAGTATCACATTTTTGCAATAATGTAAAATAATTTCCATTATTTGTGTTATTTTTATTATTTTTTTATGTAGCACCTTTCAAACGTGTTATACCGCAATTCATCGAGCAATTATTTGTGGTTAGCGGTTGCTGGGGGCGATCCGGATATTGACTCAATTGATTTTCATTTCGTGTTTGTTTTCAGATTATATGTTTATGCGTATATATATAAATATAATAGAATATAGAATATCTTATATATATTTCACTTCATATTTTTTCACACGGCAACACATATTCTTTCTCTTTAATAAATTAAAAGTTACTTCTTTTTAGAAAGGAAAAAAAGAAATGCAATTTCATTAGATGCAAATTACACAACTTTTTAGTTGTCGATATTAAATATGTTAAAAAATGAGACTTAAATTAATATTTCATTAAAGCAAACTTTCTCAAATCATTTATTACTATTAAACTTCTGGCAGTAATTAAACTACCTTTTTCACGTTTATTTTGTCTTTTTATCTTAATGTTATCTCGGAAAAATATAATTCAGCTACAGAGATTTTATTGCTGGACACCTCGTATATAGTTAATTAAATCTTATTACATGCGTTTTAGTCAAATACTATATATGTTAAATACTATATATCTCTGATTCATACTCGGTCTTTGAATTTCACTTAAAGGCACGTACATTCGCGTTGTACGTTTCTGTATCTCTTGTCATGCAAATCATCGACACCTGCCTCGAGTGTCGTCTCGTCGCACAAATGTCGCGCAGCATGCTCGCCCTCTCCGTGATGGGTAATTCAATTAAAGCAAGCTTTCATGCACCGATGGTGGATACCCAAGGGCCGTATGGTGTCGTGACTATGATTAAGTCTACATGGTTTATTGATTAATCTCCTATGGATATTATTGAAGTCAGACATAATCCACGTGCGCGCACGCATAACTGGTAATGTTAGAATGAAATTATTTTGAAAAAAAGAATTCATAATATTGATCACTCAATTGTATATATATGTAACTCTTTTTTGATTCTAAATTAAATTTAAAGAGATTTTTAATTATTTTTAAACATAATAACATCTGTCATTTTCTATGTGGGTAAATATAAATTTTCTCAAAGTTATAAATCTAAATTATTGCATGTATACAATGTGACAATCATAAACAAAATATATTATCTGACGTTTTATATAAAATAGCAGCAGTCCTTCCAATATCATAATTCACGTGATCACGAAAGTACGCAGACATATGCATCGAAACAAGTTGCATTTACCGCAATGTCTAGTCGCAGTTATAAACTAAGAGTCGAATCGTTGCTCTGACACATCGCGTGAGGTGATTTGAAATGTCAGAGTTACATACTATTAACGATTAATTGCTTGATTATTCTCGCTCGATCTCTATAGATGCACGCCATGCACTTCCCTAGTATATGCGCTCGATTTTAGCCCGATGTAGGTGCTTGCACGAGCACGTTCGCGACGTTGAATTACTCACCATTCGTAACCGTGATGTGAGAATTAATTTTCCTACGTGCTACTATACCTGGGATTAGGTATTGTTAACCGCAGGTTGTCAAGATGGGAGCCGCAGCGATACGTGTAGGTACGATAAAGTATCTTAATACAATTCGTCATACCTACGCAACGACGATTTCTTTAATATATATCATAGTCAGTACTTATTCAGATATCTAATTTAATAATATAAGAAGGCAGAGAATTTTTTACTCTAAGAGATTTATTCACTATATTTATTTCCGGAATGTGTATTCTTCGTGCAACTGTTAATATATTCGTTATTATTTGTTAATATTCTTTGTATGTTATATAAATATGAGATAATTTTTAAAAATCTTAGGATAAAATATATTTTAATAAATAAAAAGCGCAAATTTATAAAATTAAAAGAAAAATATATTATGAAATAATAATACAAAAAATGGAAGATTTTGTTTTATTAACAAGGATTAAATCTGTTTATATTAAATATAATCTGTATTAAAAAATATAGATTATTTTTGCAGCTATATTGATGGATGTATCTACTTATCTGATTACATAGCAAATAGCTATTAATAAAACGATCAAATCAGAGAATCAAAAAAAATAGTACGTACGGAAAATGACTTTACACATCATTAACACGTAGAATAAAATGTCAAACGTTAAAAATCGTAATAAGCATTTCTCGTTGATTTATTTCGCTCGGTCGATATAGTGCGCGTACAACGCGTAGAATAAAGTTCGAAATTTCGAGTTATCTAACCGTACTTTCGCGGCAAAATCGGCAGTTTCGACCTTTGTTATAGTAGATTGTATATTGCTCCGCACAATGCTCTTCAGTTACGTAACGCGGACGTTGTGTGCGTGCGCGTGAATATTCGCATTGATGATAAATGAATCGAGTACAACAGCTTTTTGAAAAGTGCAAACAAAACGCATTCAACGCACTTATAAATAAATATTACATCGAGAAAATTGGTGAAAATGCAGCAGTATCGTGTCGGAAAAAGAAACTTATAACGGATAGGGAGAACCCGATAAAAATATAAAAACTTACGTCGAGCAGATTCATCAAAGAGGCACGTCTGCGAGGATCAGGTTCCGTCATGGCGGCCAACACTGATTGCAAAGCGGAAGAGGGCGAAACAGAAACGGTCCCCGTTAATGCCGCTATTCTAGGAGTCGTGTCAAGTAACGCCCTTCCTAAAGAATACATCCACATCTGTAATCAAAACGAGAGATTAATTGGTATACATTAATTACAAGATACATTAAATACAAAGATTAATCAAAAGATATGCAACAGATAAAAAGAATTAATTCATTATAAATTCTTTTTTAAGCAACTACGGCAATTCGAAATACTTTATTTATATTTAAGATATACAGGGCAGCGCGTTAAATAGCGAAAAATACATTTTGACTAGATTAACAATTTGTGACGTATTTTAAAATATACATTTGTGCATGAAAATTTATGTCATTATCAAATAAAAATAAAACAAATGACTATCTCGAGAAAGGCGTTAAATGATAAGAAATATTTTTGCTGAATTTTGTTAAAACATATAATAAATCTCAAATCTTGCAGTTTTCTCTTAATTTTTAATATATATAAGCAAATATCTGTAGGCTGATAAATAAAATACCATCTCGAAAAGAAGCACAGTAATATTTCGCGTATCGGCTAACAATAAACTATCGCATGTCGAAGAATAATACACATCAATCTCGTGTCTTGAAAATCAAGCTTTTTCATCTAAAGCGGATTTAATAATTAGATTTATTTTATTTTGTAAGAGAAAACACACGCATATATGTGAACATGCGCACGCGCGTCTATTAGATATATCAAAAAGAATTATATAGATTCAAATATCAGCTATTGATATTTTTACTTGCTGAGAAAACAATGTTGTTTGATACCTTCATAGATACTATTACAAAATATCGATTATGTAAACTTTATTTCTCCGACACTTGAAAAATAAGAATTGATAAAATTTTATATTTCCACTTAGTGCTTTAGAATAAATAGAATAAATATACAATATTAATTCAAGATAAGTTTGCATTAATACAAAATTTTTTATCGTATGACTCTAAACACTACATTAATGCTTAGTTTTAATTACTTTGGTCAATACACTTAATTTTTTTGATACAGATATTCACCAGTATTTTAAACATCAAAAAACACGAGATCTTCGTGAATTTAAGCTACATTGACTTCAAGTTGCGGCCGTAGCTTTCTCGTTTATTTACGAGAACGGGAAACAACGGTAACCACGTTGCATATATAGGTTACAGCACCTGCGCGACTCTCACCGAGTACTGCAGTGTCACAGAGATCATTCTAACAACACGCTTGTACATTGTGTTACGCGATGAAAAATGTAAGAGCGACAACCGTTGGAAAAAGCAACGCTTTTTCGCGTTTGCTTCGTGTTGGTCCAGGTAATCGTTGTTGTGCTACTGTGCTGTAGCCATTGCTGGCAAGTATTTCGTATTCGCCGGAAAAGTAGACGCAATGAATAGCATTCTGTTATCAGTGACGGATTTAGGATATTTTGGCAAAAGCCAAATGAGTTTACATTAATCGAAAAATATTTTAAAAATTTATTCTTTTTTTGACAAATTTTGATGCAAATATTTTTAGATAGGTTGAAGACAATTCTGTAATTTACATAGAAAGTATAAAAAACATAAGAATATGCATATATTTAATTCTATATAATATAAATATGCGCAAAATTAATTTTATTTAAAATTTCTTTTGTAATTATAAATTTTTTTATTAATATCTTATATTGTCATAGTCAGCAAGAAAGTATAAAATGTCTGAGTTCTCATGTCATAGATTCATGCCTTTTTTTGCCTCGATCAAAGTCCGCTACCATTCTTTATAATGTTATCTAGAATCGGAATAAGTTACAGGAAAGTTATACGAGTCACTGTGTCTTTTTTCTTTTTATTTTGTTCTATTATAAAAGCTGGTAGAAAAAGACGAAGCATTTCTTTCCGCGCTTTTTGACTGCGTCAAATTAGTCGTCCCTCGCATAAATCTTGTAAAAGTCTTTTGTTGACCGTCTTCATATTGTAAAAGTATTGCTGAATGTCTAACAAATTGCTAATTATTTTCAGCTCAGTAGCGCAATAAAATTAATTATATTTTTTCTCCGCTTGTAACGAAATCCCATTCCTCTGTCTTCGCTAAAATCTTGTCGCCATGAAACAGAATTCATTTCTCGATATCAGGTTTTAAAATATCGTTAATGGAGATGCACAGTACTTTATTCGATTGAAATTGAATATTGCATTTTGATGTTGGCTTGCTTAGCGAGTATGCACAGAGAAAAAACAGATTGGAATATTAAATTCTAACGAGTTTTATTGAAAGAACTTCCGTATTTTTTGCACTTAATCAGTATCGTATTTTCAAGATAATATTCTTCTACGTTACGAATGTGGAAAAAAAGTATTCTTTATTCAAATTCTCTCTTTATATTTTTTATTTATATATTGTATTATTCTCACACTATGAATTCCAGTTTCTGAATAATAAAATATAAAAAATGCGAAAATTAATAATATAAATTTTTTTCAATATCAAATGCATATTAACGTATTTATAAAGCAGGAGTTATCTAAATTTTTCACAGTTTCTCGCATGAGAATTCATGGTTATAGAACATTGAATTAAAATATAATAGCCCTTATATTATTGTCACTGAATCTTTATAAACATCGAAGATTTTATTTCAATGCTATTTTAATATAGTTCTGGATTGCGAAATTTTCCTGTCTTGTAAACGTAAATTACGGTCGTTTTTGTTCGCGTGATTAACGAGCAATACGGATACGGTTGCATCAGGGTTGCGTGTTTTCCGCAAGGACTTATCTTTTCGTTAGATACGAGGACGAGACAGAAGAGGGAAAGGGAGGGAAGAGAGGCTTCGAAATCGGTGATATAAAAGAACGATGCGCCGAAGTTTATTTATCGTGCGCGGCATTTGTTCTCCCTTTAATCTGCAGGAGATAAATACCGGTCCGTGTTGAAACAACAAAGCTCTATCCGGCTATCAACGGGAAGAAAGAATGGCACTGAAGGGGGAGGAGGGCGAAAGGGATCGCGGCGAGAAATGGAGGAAGTGGAGAGAGCGAGAAAATCCGAGGGACGCGCTGAAAAAAATACGGGAAGAGACATAGAAATGGCGCTAGGATTTTGATAAAGGTACTAAAATAATTGGCTTCGGTCCCTCTACGTGCATCCCTCTTCGTTCTTCGAATCTTTCAAACAGTCAGTCTCGCACAACGACGGCCCCGTTAAAAATTCAACTCGGCACTCAAACGCGAGTGTCGAGCAAATAAAAAGTCGTCGAGCCGTCAAAGGACGAGCACGGCGGCTTAATTCTTTTCGCGCTGAAAGGATTTTAATAGAACGCGTTCTTAATTCTCCGCGTTTCGCTCTTTTAATTATACCATCGGCCTCGTCCTTCCGGTAAATACCAGTACTATTTATACGCGCGTACGTGTATAATTGACCGGCCGGAGAAACGGAACTGTTTCTGATAAACATAATTTGCTCAGTCTTCTCTCGATTTTCATATTTACCTCACAATACGTAATTATTCGATACATTAAATATTTATTTACTTTTATCAGTATAATACTATTAAAATCAACGTTAGATATCACATTACATGATCATTTGAAAGCTGTAAGCATTTCGCAAATTCCAATAATAATATGCATTATAGACGGGGACCGATCGGGAAATCAGAAAAACTTCCGGGAAAAGTAAAAAAAAAAAAATTAATCTTGAAATTTATATCAAATAAACTTTTACAACATGCTGTGCAATAATTTAGCGTTAGTAAGATTAGTGGCGTTATGGAATAGCAGATGTAAAGTGAATATCAAAATACCGCGCTAAAATTCACCAAATGACAGATATTGATTGGGACGCAATTAATTATTGAAAAATTTGTTATTAACGGTGCATCATTAAGCGCCGCGTTGCGAATGTAACGTACTTTTTCCGAATCCGTGTCCGAATAAATCCGACCGGGTCGATATTCCGGTGGTAGGTACGCGCGAGCAGTCTCCGGCGGTGCAAGCTGCAGCAAAACCCTACCACGTGGTGTCAATTCCAGTGTGTGTGGAGTCACCACTGGTCCTGCTCTCGAACCACCCACCACGCCTCCATCTGGAACAAATATTAATGGGAAATATGAATCTGTCGTCAGACATATAAACTATACTAGGGTACCTAACGTAGCGAAACAGATTGGCATGTCCTAAGCTAAAGTAATATTAGTAAATCTCTATTGTATATCTTTTTGAAATTCTTTCACATATATAATGGCAAGAGCTGTGTTTGAAGATGACATTATATAGTATATTTTTATTCTTGAGAAGAGAAAACTGTCATTTGGTAATTTAATTTTTTATAGAGAAAATTTTTATATTTATACAGCAAAAAAAAAAAGAAATAAAATTTGTTAATAATTTATTTAACAACGAGCAGAAAAAATAAAATACATGGAAAATCTCTGAATTAATTAAATCGCATTATTCGCATCCAGAAATCTTTTTCTCTTGTGAGATGGCGATTCGATGTACTGTAACTTATCAATCATGTTTTAATATGTTGTATAATCATGATTTATCGCTCAAAACCATGATTATATTTGTGCCAAACTTTACTTAAGGAGAATTAAAGTTATAATTAATTCTTCGAGTAGTTAGTGTATACGGGGCGGACAGGCTTAAAGGCTGACGAAAATTGGTCGCAGGTGCATGTGTGAGGATCTTCTGTTCGGCAAAGGGATCTTCTGGAAATTACTCGATTTATTTATCGCGATCGTGCTTTTGCTCAGAATCATTTATTATCGTTTGTAATGTGCTGCGTACTTTTCAACGTCCGCGCACTGTCAAGGTCCTACGGAATTGTGTAAAAGCTTGGGATGTAATTGCAGGGAAATCACGTCGAGATTGGGAAAGATTGAGGAAACAGTGAATCTTCCTGACTTCTTCTTCTCCTGTAAATCTCATCTTCTTCTGCAAACTTCTAATCGTATTTTCTTCAATCGCGCGCGTCTGTAGTTGCTCCAATATCGACCAAGAGACCAGTCGTCAATCTTTTTAACATTTTCCGATCGTGGTAATAACAGTGATGGAGTTTTATCGCACAGTTTCTGTATTACATTACTGCCGTACATAGAAAAGCATCGATTTTAAAATACTATTACGTAATCATTTTATGAAAATATCATATTTTACCTGAGCATTATTTTATTTTTATATCTTATTAATACGGTTAAGAAGTCGCTACGTTATCCATGCGGACATTGCGTGGCTTTTGTTTAATGGCAAACAGTCTAGGCACAAGTGCCAGGCCATCTATTATACCGTTCTCGTTATAAATCCCGTATAATTCGCCATTGGGGTGCTAATTCTGCGCGTGTCACGGACATTAACAGCCTAATGGTGGGCTAAAGCGCCTTGACACGGAGAATATTGTTCCACGAGTACGCCTCGGTAATTTAGGCAAGCGCTTCTACCGACAAATTCTTCCCCTGCTGTCTTTACTAAGAGCGTCAAGGAAATTAGTGAGAACTAGCATGCGAAAATTGACACGCTACACAATTAAGACTAAGTGTATTCATGCAGATACTTAAATCATCGTCGCATTCTATTTTAACTACAAAAATCTCTGTGAAATATTTAAAACTTTCACAATCTAAGATATCTATTTATGTAAGTTATTATGCGACATGCACAATGCCGAGTTGCAATTTGTTTTTGTTCTATTTGTTTTTGTCCGTATTTGTTGCAATCAGTGATATGAGCCTCGATTTCTAATTCTACCAGTAGTTAATCTTTACGGACGATCGGACAGATCTCCGTGCAAATTAGAAAGCAGAAACGTCGAATGGAATGCTTCCGAGCGATAAACTATTTCCGTTCGCCGAAGATTTAAGCTCTAAGGAAATTACGCGGGTTTGAACGGATCGACGTGTTTACTGATAAATCTCGACTAATCTCTAGATGAGGAGAGACGAGTCACGTAATCACATCGTCTGATCATTATATTTTAAAGTTAGACTAAAATCCATTTACACATACAAATATATTTAAAATCTCACAAATTATATATATATATGAGAAAATATATTACATATACATTATGTACCTTTTATAACCAAGTATTAATGGATTAGCATTTGCGTTGTTGCAAATTCAATCGGGTTGTTAAAAATATCCATTTGCATACTGAACACGTTAATTATCGATGCCATTTGCATTTCGTCGGGAAAAAGAAATTTACTGGATAAACTGTACAGCGTTACCGAGCATTTGCGTCATTTATCACTGTCCCTTTTTCACCGGCGATGTGTTATTTCGTCCGATGTTGGACCAGTAGTCGATCTCTGTAAACGATCGGACTCTCGGTCGGACGGCGCAGTCTGATCGCTGACAATAAAGCAAAGACGCGACTTGTTGTTCTGTAGAATACAAGAGTCGCCGAAATTAATGGCATGACAATTTATTTGCTGTAAACAATGTTTGTAACGAAACGTGACAAACGTGACTTTGCTACTTGCAGAATGTTCCGTCCCAAAAGTTGACGGACTAAATTCGCTAGCCACAAAAATGGCAATCACTGTTTGCAAAATTTAATATCCAGCTAGAAAATTTTGTTATAATTTTTCAAGAGACACAATGTAGAATGAATATATATAGATCTCTTTGATTTTCCTAAATATGTTTTTTATACTTATTTTATTATAAATTAATATTTTAATATTTATATATATAATTTATTTTATATTTGTCATTAAAATATATTTGTTTTAATATTTGGATAATAATTATACGTTTTCCATCGGTTACTAAATTGTGTCAAAGATACAAATAAATATTTTAGATAGCATTAATGCGTAACTTTAATTACAGTCGGCTAATTATTGTAATTGCTTCGTTAATATAAAGTGAACTTGCGTTAATGCATATAACTGTGAGCGTATTTACGAAATCTTCATACGTGATTGATGATTGTGCGTATATTCCAAACATTAGGCCGCTCTTTCTACATCCCATTACATCTTTTGCGTTCTCTCGCCGCAAAAGGTCGAAGCAGATCTCAAGTTACATCGTATTGTATCTGTCTTCCATCGATCTTCGTTCAGGCAATAATGGGAAATGGCGCGGGCATTCCAAAGCTTTTAGTTTAAAAATGGAAATGCTTTTAGACATTTGTATTTTTTTCAGGATCCCTAGAGTAGTTAATCTAACTGTCTACGCGAGAAAGTTCAGTATTTCTAATAATTTATACTGACAATGTAAATAGAAAAAAAAACCAAAATATAATAGGTAATCTTATAATAAATTGACATGTTTAATTCTGATTTTATTTTGTGAAAATCAGAGTCTATTATACGAATTTTTTCTAGTAAAAATCTTTAAATACATCATTAAGACAAAGTCTAATTTTAGAAAGTAAGATATAATTAAGAAAAGGAAATTTTTACTCAAAAATTATGACTACTTGACTTTAAATTATTCTATCAACGTCATTTTTTTTGGATTTCTCTAGGATTTTATATGTTCACGCTTCTCGATATTCTTAGAGTATTAACACTATCGGGCTTTACATGTAATAAAGAGCTAGAAAGATTATACGTGCACACACAAGGATTCTCACTCTTTTTTTTCTCCGGCTCTATTAATATTGAAGGTTATTACTAATAAATAGTGAGTTCCTTCTATTTTTCTTATCAATATAACTAATGTTCTAAATATTCATTTAATTTTACTAAATAATTTTATGATATATTTGATGCTAATATTTGAATTAAATAAGTGAACCTGTCTGTTTAATAATGAAATAGGTCTTGGCTGCCTCAGTCAAATTGAATATTAAGAGCTGAGTTTGTAGTTTCTAGTATGTGCCAAAAAACAAAAAGGCACATAAAAAGATGCGAATATCTAAGGAAGTCAGAAATCTTAAACATATATATTCGATTCAATACAATTCCAATTGGATTCACATTTAGATCGCTTTCTTTTTATAATAGTTGCATGATTTTAGAGATTTTCTTTATTATTATGATGTACAGGAATAGCTCGGTAACATATTTTAATGACAGATTTCTTTTAATTAATTAGAAAAATTTTCTTAATTGCTAATAGTTTTCAAGTTATAAGTGACAGAAAATAAATGATCTTTACTAAGTTTTGAAAGCAAATAGATAAGAACATTTTCACACATTTTAAATAAACCTGGAGTTTTAAAGTTTTAATGGATTAATATAATTTCAGGATTTTACATATAAAGAATTTAATGTTGGAAGTAAAGAAAGGCTTCTATTGTTTGGTCATAATACAAATCTTTTCAAAATTCAACAAGAATGTATTATTAAAGTTTAATGCGGTGTATAACTATCGTTTATATAGGTAAAGCATCATTTTACCCCTATGAATATTATTTCTCAAAGCAAACATAATATTTCTCGTGGAGTTACTGTCGCGGTATTTCTGCTTTTAATCTGCGAAGGAACGTTTAAAGGGTTCTCCAAGCAGACGAGCGTAAGCGGCGAGAGTTAGATGGTCGTCCTTTTGTGGATAGATAATGAGAGACAAAGATAGATGAGATAGAACGGAGGAAACTTCATGTGTCGGGATTATCGGGATACTCGCCCTTCATCTCTCGTTTATTCGTGGTGGATGACCTCGATACCGCTTGATATTGCCATTTTGAATGACTGATTCAACTTGTCACAGTGATTCAAATGTCGATTTTCACTGTCGATTTTCATTCGTCGGGCTCTCTTCGTTTTGAATAAAAATAGGAGATCAATACTCCAGTCTCTTTCAGGCTTATTATATTTTTTTTCAGATGGTAATACAGATTAACGGAAGATTCACATGTGGCTGCTGCAGATATCTATGATAGATCGTTACGACATGCAAAAACACCGACTCAACTTTATAGATCGCGCTTATAACGAATCCATACTTTTATTTCATGTTAAACTATTTGTTTTTTTTTATACTACAGCTTTTTGAGCATAAATGCTCAACGGGCATTTATAAGTATTTGGTGAATTTGTCTTTGCGAATACTAGCGTACTCAGACGTTCGTTTTTTCTTTACGAATGCAATTTTTCGATATATGATATATAATGGATGTTAAAACCATTTAGAGTTCCAATGAAAATTTTAACCGAACTGCTAAAAGATAAACGATTGCATACATTAAAAAGACTAATAAAAAAAATAGGGGAATATGTAATTATTTTTAACAACTTATTAGTTTTTTCAGTTTTACACATTTATAGAATATCTCATTAAAATTATTTT